CAGGCGGCCCGGGTTCGACTCCCGGCGCGGGAGCGCTTTTCATCAAACACACACCACACTCAATCCTGGCGTCAGACAACATACGCAAAGCACACCGCCAAAGCATCATTCCACACTCACATACAATGACAATACACAATACGCTGTCCGGTCGATGAACGACAGATCGAACGATCGTCCGGCCGACCCACCGACCGACTTACCGAGTGAAGCACAGCGTGCCTGTGTTCGTCTGTATGCGCGTGTAATTTCCCTTGGACACTGTTTTACCTATGATTCGAGTTGAGGCATTACTTGTTCGTGAAGAGTTCGAGGTGGAGACACGTGCATGTTGAATTGATAGTGGATTGGACTGTGTTGTCTTGTCTTTTGTTGTTTTGTATTAGGGTTTATTTTATTTTTTTTCTTGTGTTGGTTCATCAATAAATTTTTTTTGTGGATATCTGTGAACCTTTTCACGCTTTTTTTCAGTGTTTCTGTATTCTATTTTTCCAGGGTTTTGTTATATCTTTATATTTCGTCTGCTTTTTCTGTTTATTTACCTCGTTTTTTTTGTAATTTTTCGCTTGATATCACCTGAATGTTTCATTTGTAACTGATTTATATAAATCTATCGTCACGACTTCTATATATATTTAGATTTTTCTGCAGGCTTTGATTGGTGTTTCTTTGGGGAATATTATTAGTTCTGTGACATGTTGATTCGGTTCTTGATCCGATTTGTACCAGATTGTAATCCGGTTGCAAATCATTATATATTTTCATCCTCGAGGTTAGGGCATTTTAATAAATTTTAGTGAATCATCTGTTTCATGATGAATGTGGAAAATAAAAGCTCATTCTGAATTGATGGCTTATACCGGTCAAAGAAATCGACAATAATTGATGTACAATATTACTGTCGCTGACTATACTACTGACACGATTTATCAGTAGTTTATAAAGAGACATTCACTGGCAAACTATTATCAAATAGCCTAGAGGTGAATTTAAAATCTAAGAGAGGAAATGAATGAGCGTTGCGTCAAAACATGAGAGAGACGAAAAGAATACAAGGCAATACAATACGAAGGTTAGAACTAGCACAACACGATTTTCAAATAAGGTGTACATATATTTCCTATATGGAGATATCAAATTCTATATAAACATTCCTTTACCAAGTCTCTTGTCTACTGCCGTTATGCTATGAAAATCAACAATCGAACGACAGAGAATATTGTAATATTAAGGAATCTCAAACGAAGTAATACATTAGTATATAAATGAGCTAGGAGTGGATACAGGGGTAAACCATAAGGAAAGTTAACAATAGAATAATGATAGAAATAATAATAATACGTACATTTTTTGTTTACAGGGACTTGAATGTAGAATTCATTGCCAATTGATATCAGTTACGGAATAGGCGAAAACCAAGGAGCACTGGACTGCTGTTTCATCACGATAAGTGTCATGATTCTTCAATCATCCCATCCAGGCATTAATGAAATAACAAAATAAGTGGTTCAGAGCAAAGGCTGTTTTCGCCTAATTCATTTTCTTTAGTTGTACAATTACATTCATATAGACTGTTTAAATGAAACAAAGTAGTAACAGAAGCGATGAGTTTGTATAATCATTATATATGTCCAAACCAAGTTCACTTTTAACGGTTTGAAAAAATTTGGGCATTGGGTACATGATATTCATTATAATAAAGGTTTTTGTATTTCCCAATGAATGAAAAACAAAACGATATTGTTTTTACTGACGTTTCGCTATTTAATGCTGCTAAACCGGAATTTACAAAATCTCAGCATATATATATATATATATATATCAAATGAACTGTAGTCAAGATTTGACAGAATAGTTCTATAATATTTGGGCGCCGAGTGAGAAGTAGACATTTGTAAAAAATTATATTTGTAAAATCTCAGCGATATTGAAATGAGTAATTCCAACGTTTCGTTCGGCAATCTGGTCCGAACTTCTTCAGGGAAATTAATCGAAATTAACATAACAGGTTTACATATAAAAGGAACATATTTAGTTTTTAAAAACCTTGTCCAATCATGATTTATAAAACAAATATTAACAAGTATAATAAACAAAATTGTACGAGTTGTGATCAAAATTTGACCTCAGACTTACAAATATTGATCTACCTTTGTTGAACACTTTAAACACAGTGTGTATGTATGTGTGTGTGTGTGTGCGGATAAACAGTTGTAAAACAATGTCTTAACGTCTCCATAAGTAGATATAGACAGTCGGGAAACTTTGACCAAGTATTATTAGTTAGTGATACATATCCATTCTTATTTATTAATCAGGATTTCCTATGCGTCATCTAACATCACACCTTCATGTCTGTTCAAACTGTTAGTATCTAGAATTTTATGATTAGACGTATTTTCAAAATTATGGTGTTTAGGATTAGAGTTTAGTTGAACAACCCCGTCAAACTTATTACATTGTCTTCTTTCTGAAAATTGAGCTGCTTTATTCGACCTACTGAAGTTGTCAGGTGACTGGACAGCTACGAATTTAGGATACGCATTCTGCTGCAGACAACGGAGAGTGGAAACACGATGATTGTGCCAATTACATACTTTCTTTGTTAATTTAATTCGATTACAAAATAAATCAAATGAACTGTAGTCAAGATTTGACAGAATAGTTCTATAATATTTGGGTGCCGAGTGAGAAGTTCGGACCAGATTGCCGAACGAAACGTTGGAATTACTCATTTCAATATCGCTGAGATTTTACAAATATAATTTTTTACAAATGTCTACTTCTCACTCGGCGCCCAAATATTATAGAACTATTCTGTCAAATCTTGACTACAGTTCATTTGATATATATATATATATATATATATGCTGAGATTTTGTGAATTCCGGTTTAGCAGCATTAAATAGCGAAACGTCAGTAAAAACAATATCGTTTTGTTTTTCATTCATTGGGAAATACAAAAACCTTTATTATAATGAATATCATGTACCCAATGCCCAAATTTTTTCAAACCGTTAAAAGTGAACTTGGTTTGGACATATATAATGATTATACAAACTCATCGCTTCTGTTACTACTTTGTTTCATTTAAACAGTCTATATGAATGTAATTGTACAACTAAAGAAAATGAATTAGGCGAAAACAGCCTCTGACTCGAAATATCATGATATCACAGTGACAAATCGTAGCCAATTAGGTTTACCACATTGAGTGGGCAGTCGATATTCGGAGACGCAGTGGTTAGGACTCTCGCCATCCATGCACGTGGTCTGGGGTTCGAGCCCACGCCGACGTACACCTGATATCTATGGTCTGCCTGCGAAAATTGGGCTACCGATATCCACGCTGAAAATTCCATACTTATACCAAAAATACAGTGTGGAATCAAGCTGTAATCTAAAATAAAATAAAAAATCAATGGTGACAGTAGCGGTATACTGCGAATTGACAGAAGTTAAATTCACAAGCCACCAAATTCCAATTCAGTGGCCAAATTTTCAAAGGGATCAGCTCCTGTGTCCGACTTTTATTGAAGTCGTGGGTACCGGTTATTAAGCATTCTCTGGTATATTCAAAAACAGTAACAATAGTTTTCAAGTTAGGACATTCAAAATAAGGTCTGTTTCCTCATGCATATGGAGACCTAGTCAATAAACGAACTATGGGAATCTGAGAGGCCTCAAAAAGGGAGTTTAACCGCAGACTAGTATTTCAATCGTAACTATACTGTGATTATAATGAAACGTGAAAGTGCGAAATAATTCCCATTAATGAATTTCAAAATAAGTTCTTTGTATTCCAATCATAGGATTTATTGGGATTTTGGTTTAATTCCAACCGTTAGATTTTCATTACGAACCAACATCATCTAGAGAGATCATTGAAAACTACAGGGCATCGAATAGTTGTTTCGGTCTGTTTTGGTACTTTTTAGCAGTGGGCACCCAGTATCATGCTGGAAACCGAACGGAACCATGTTCTTCGACCATTGAGCCACTTGGACAACAATCTGATGGCGTCTGTATTCTAAATTTGTTAACTCGTGACATGGAGCTCGCCTCACCAAAGCCTTCAATGAGCATCCACTTCACCTTGATATGATGAAGGCCACTAATCATGACTTCTCACTTCAGCTTCAGGAAATTCACCCAGTTGCCGTCAGTGAGCTGCAGACTGATATTCAGATTATACGATTTATGAGGATTTTGGATGGTCCAACAACTTGGTGTTATAACTTGAACATCCCAGAATGGATCCTTGGCAAGGTCGTGAGCGCGCACTGATGAACAGCACCAAAACCGGACGAAACAGCTATCCGATGCTCCTTAGTTTTCAATGATCTCTTTAACTGATACTGGTAAGTGATGAAAACCAAACAGTTGAAGTTCTTTTTAGTCTATCAGTGCTGATCAGATTGTAATTGTACTGATTTTTATTTGTATCAATAGAGTGTTTAGTTAATAACTAACTCCTAGTATAAATTATCATAATTAAAAATCACTAAATTAATGAAATAATAAAAGGATAATAAGTAATTATAAGTATTAAGATGGTAATTGATTCTGGTCTAAACATTTTAACTATGATTAATTTTGTTGTTAAATAACAATCTCGTTGTAAAGTATATTTTCAACTACATGCAAACGCACACACATATCTGATCGAATATCAACCTACGCATGACAAGTTCATAGATGATTATGTAAACACCAACACTGCACTATTACAACCAGACGACAATATTTGAACGAAGCAAGATGACAATAATAATAATAATTTATCTAATTAACCCTCATTATTGTTGTTTTCATTCTCGATTCAGTCACTTCCGGTGTTTTATTGTTATTATTATTATTGTGTTTTTTTTAATCGGTTTGTGTTTTTTTCCTACCTAAGAATGTATAAATTACTGTGTAAATTTCAGAACGCCTAAATCTACACGGTCTGCACATACATATATATTTGTAATTCTAGGAATTATTAGTACAGTGTAACAATGTTTGTCGCTAATAAAGTGAGTTCAAGCATTTTCATGCTTTGTGTTTTTACATCTCGGATAAACTTGATAACGCAACTTTACTGTATATGTTTTGGTTGCAGGATTTCATCATGAGCTGACATTGGTTAGAGAACCATTGGAAAACCACCTGGGAGTACTGGACGGCTGTTTCGTCCTAGTTTGGAACTCTTCATCAGTACGCACCCACCGGGGTTCGAACCCAGGACCTTCTGGTTACAAGGCGAGCTAGCTCGTAGACCATTAAGCCACTGGGACCCAATCCAATGGTCCTTGAATTCTAACTTCTGCCAATTCACGACATAGCGCAACCGCTAGCCAATGTCTTCGGCGAGTATTTGTCCTCACACACGACCTGCTGCACCCTACTGGTCACGACTTACCACTGGAACCCCAGGCAACTACCTACCTGAATAGGGCCAGTCGCCAAGGTCTCTTCAGCAGTACGCACCCAGGTTTTCCAATGGTTCTGTAACCAATGTTAGCTCATGATGAAATCCTGTAACCAATCAACTAAATCCCTACAAACCAATACTTGAATTACTGTATATGTGATTTATAGAGAAGAATTTCAACAAAAATACTGATGAAGTAATTTTTCTGACACAGTGTACAGTGACAGATAGTTACTGGATGACGTTACTAGTGCGATTTATTAACCATAACTATATTACGGTGATGTGATAGGATTATGACCAATTAATTGTACTTAAAACGTTACTTAGTAAATGACATTGGATCTCAGTTGGAATTGCACTTTACCAAAGTATCAAGTTCTGTTTTTATAGGGAAGATGTTCATCTTATAGATTCAAAATTTCTTAATGAGGATATATTATGTATTGGACATTGAAAGTAAAGAAAGGACAGATGAGATTAAATCGTCGCATGATTCTCATTAATAGATAATCCCAATGTTCATGAATTTTTTGTTTTGTTATTTTATTCCATCGCGTTCCCAATGGTACATTGGTCTTCAGTGTTTGAAGTGTCAGTAATAGTGGTATTATTCTTTTTTTAAAGTATGGAACTGCTAACTTCATGTCCAGCCTTCCCTCTTCATAGGGCTTACTACCAGCTAAACCAGGTTTAGGAATGGATACACCAAGAATCAAACCCCGAGCTAGCATTCTATCGCTGAACCACAGCAGCACGTTCACAAATGGTAAAGACTAATAAAAATGCAATAAAAAAACATGAGAATGCACATGATGTGCTGTAGTGTGATGAATGATTTCAAAAATCAAATTGGATTACTGAAGGCACATAATGAATAGTCGTAGTGTCCAGCAAAAACAGATTAACCTCCAGCTCAAGACTAAGAATATAGAAATGGTTGTACGAGCACTTTTGTGTGCCCAAACAGCAATTCTTTCTTCAAACACTCTCACCTGCATCACATAATTCTGAAGTTACAGGATCCATAAATGAACTAGTTATCACTCCACCAAGTAACTTCTTATAGGCAGTAGACATATTTAAGTGCAAACATAAAAGAAGTCACGACATTACAGAGTGCGTCCAAACTTGTTTCCAAATTCGCTAAGGTATTTAGTAGCACCTGTCAAACCTAATTGAAATAAATTAGGACTTTTAATAAGTTCATAATTCCAGCCATAATGGCGATCTGGTGAACTCAAAGGGTAGCAATCATCGCTTCACAAGACAATGTCACTTATGACTCTGTCCAGTTGTGATGAAAATTCCATGTTTATTTCATATTATTTGCCACCAGAGTATGAAGTTCCTAGGGGCTGATTTAGAGAAGAACTCCTTACTCACATATAATTTGAAAGACAAGGATACAAGGATAATGCTGAGACTAGGATTCCATACGGAAAGGCTATAAGTAACTCATCTGTCGACCAAATACTAATAGTAACTTTCAGTCACTTCTGATCCCCTAGAGCCTACACAAATAAAGACAGAAAACAAGCTACTCCAAGACTCTCAGAACAACCGCCTTCTATTAGATAAAAGTATATCGTATACAAATATTATCCACCTCGGAAACATAAGCTAATAGATAAATAATTTGATTGATTGCATAGGTTTGGGTTTCAAGGTTGTCTAAACGTACTATATTGAATATTCTGCTTTTGCCCAATGGTTTAAATTTGTTCACATCGATTTTAGCTAGTTTCAAAAATAGGCAAGATTAGGGGTATAGGAGAATATCCAATAATATTTAAAGGAAAAGCATCATTTCCTTTCAAATGTCACCAACTGGCTATTCACTGTATTTCGAATCTGAAGTATCCCAAGTGTTTACTGTTACGTCACTTCCGGCAACGTGATATGAGGATTAAATGGAATGTGACTTATTTTAAATCTAATATTTAAAGATTTGTGTCAAGGTAAACATCAAGTTATTCCATGTGAAGTTATTCTCTGTTGACTAAACAAGGAACTGATCAATCTCAACAAATATTCGTGTATCTAAATTATATGAATGGAATAGACTGGGTGCTGTTAAATACTCTAAGTTTATTCTACGTCCAATCTCTCTGCGTTAATAATAGTGATAATAATTATTATTATCATCAATAATTAATAAAAGTACAGCTGTTAAGAGCAAATAATTATGACAGCTCATTCATTTGAAAGTTCAAAGTTTCAAAACACAAACGGAAGAATAATCAGAAGCTCTGAATGTACAAGACAACTTAATGATTCCAGTGTCTGACATTACAACTAGCTCGATAAGCCTTTCGTTTTAATGACTACTGAGATCTTCAGGAATCCATGTTCACGGGAAGTGTTTAGTGACTAGTCCGTATCAGTATAAATATAACTAATAAAGCTGGAATACAGGAAAAATTTATATAGTCTTATAAATAGTTTATATTATTCAGTGCACAGAATATACTGAAATAGAGTGATAATTGTAAAGTGAATTAGTTATGTCACTGGTTTCATGCAATCCTGTATTTACTTTTATCTTTTTCGAGTTATACACCAACATTCAATCTTCTTTACTAAAATCTCTTGGGAGTACTTAACATCGTCACTATGGCACTTTTGCCAAGGTAGAATATTTAAGCAATAATTTATGAAAATACTGACATATATAGGAAGTATACATTAGTCATTATTTTCGATTTCTGATTGTATCACCAAAAATCGTTAGCTGTTGGTTTGCCAACGTCTTGAAGCTATTCTGCTCGCAGCCTACTAAACGCTTCAGACTAACAATCAACGGATTAATAAGTTAGTGTCGTATCACACACACACACACTCTATCGATCTTCCATTCTAGTTTTATTTTATTGTTTTAAATGTCCCCACAGTATGCATATTCAGAACAAGGAAAAGTTTTGAGTGGACGATTGCATTCAGTAACTTCTTCTCTGAGCTGGATAGTTAATTTGTGAAGCTTTCACCGCCTAGTAGGGCGATGTAAATATAAATAAAGTAAAAAGTTGTTTGAGTGACTTGACGTGATTATGAGCAATAGTTTGTACTCGAAACATAGTCATCAGTTAATATTACTGTATAACACTGTGTGACTTACCAAAATAAAATAAATAAAATAAAAAATGGAGTTATACTCAACCACAGTGCCCAAGTTTTGTACGTATATCAATAACATTAAAATATGCCATGATTACATACCCGATGACCTTATAGCGGTCAGAATAAAAAAGAAGATGAATACACGTTTCTACGTACTGATCAGTGTAGTTCTAGCTGTGCCTAGCAGACATAATCATGTACCTTTAAACATACTATTTGGCACTGGGTATACAACCGTAAATGACCCACTGATTTTGATGCGGTATTACTGTATCCATAGGGAAAGACTCTTAAACTTGTCAAACTCTATTGATTCTCTTCACTCATCTTCTTGTCTACCTTAGTGCTATTTGGAACGTGGCAACTCGAACTGCTGCACTTCGGTGCCAAGTTCTATGTTGAATCCAGACAGACAGACATAAGGAAAGACAAGTAGTAGTGGAAGTAGGACATGCAATGTATTTTTTAAAAACTTCTTCGTTAGAAAATTTTCACTTTCGTAAACGACAAGAACTGAACAGATATAAACCAGAGTGGCTTAATATGACATTCCAGTGAGAAAAACAGTCATACGACATCAACATGTACCCATATTATTTCAGTGCTACAAGACAGGACAGTATGCGATTATTAAATTCACCTTATTAATCAATAAAAATTGGATTTCAGTTAATATTATTTTTACATAATGGAGGAACTAGGTGGTCAGCTGATAAAACCCCCGCATGAATAGTTAAATAATGACATTAACTCACATGACCTGAACGAAAAAACAGTAACAAATAAAGGCAATTTACTGTTTACCAATTCATTTATTTTTATATGAATTTATTACAGCATAATGATCAGTAAATACATCGGACATAATAATATAGCAATATTATCAAGATGCTAGACGTAGAAACTAACTAATGAGGTGATCACTGTGGATAGACAAAAGTAGTATAAAATGTAGTTATCGATAAATCCTGACCAGTACAGTGCTGACACCAGATACGAACAATGCTGCGGGTACTGACTGATGCATAGTATTATCATCATCTCAAATGGAATAGGCGTCATGAGAGGTTTACGCAGCTGTTGTTTTGCAGAACCACTATACTTCAAACTTTTCCCGTCAGGATTAACATTGTGACGGCATCAAATATAAATCGAATTGGTGAATGACACTGTGAGTTCTACTTCACGTCATAATTCATCTGTGTCAAAGTCCCACCAACAACTACACTGCTGCTTAGAAGCATGGAGTTTCTAAAAATTTCAAATTGATAATAACCTAAGAAAACGGCTGATATAAAGGTCTAGAATACTTAACAAAATTAACTTTTTCATTTTATTACTGTATACGAGTATACGCCAATGTTTGTCTGTAGACATAAATATTCGAATAATCCATCTGTTTCTTCAACTGCTTCACAAAGAATCGTCACTGAAAATTGTGCTGAACTTTTTCACACATACTTCATGAGTTCGGTTATATTTAGGCTGAGTAGGAACGAAAACCATACTGATTATTCTCTTTAAGTTTCTTAAAAATTAACTTTTAAATAAGTCCCTTATCAGAATTAATAGTTATTAATAATGCCTAAAAGATAGATTGATTAACTTGGTGGAGAAACAATTTATTATTATTTCATTCCTTTGCGTTCCTCTTGGAACATAAGACATCAGGCTTTGAGCTTTGAATTTTCAGTGCACGTGATGCTTTCTTACGGGATTAGGTCACTAGTCTCAAGCCCACTCTTACTTCTTTACTGGACTTATTGCTGGTTAAGCAAGGTCAAGGAGTAAGTCGGCCAAGAATATAGTCTGAACAGTGTGAGTGGTTGGTGAGCATACCACCAGTGAACCATTGACGTACTGGTAGAGAAACAAAGAAAGGGAATCTATTCAACTCAGAATACTTTGGAATACGACAACAAACTAGAATCAGTAAATGCGATAAAAATTAAAAGACAGGAAAAAATATATTAAGTAGAATTTCAATAACTAAAAGTCTATCATAAAAGCCAGTTGAAAGATGAAGGTAACATAGTTTGTGTATATGCACTTGAAACCAATGAAAGTTAAAGTCTATATCAACAGATGTACCGTCTTTCCCTGGAGTCAGATACTCAGAAGGTTGGTTGACTAATTTTCTTATGATTAGAAAAAGATTACAAAACATATCAACTGTCTATTTGTGGAAACATTTAGGCTGATACCTAAATATTCATATAGAATCATTTCTACCAAATATCTAAATTAAGGACGGACACATTAATGACCAATTAAAGGACGACTTCTAATATTATTCTCATGAATCTAAACACTACTAGATATATGTAAAAATTACATTTGTAAAATCTCAGCGAAATTGAATTGAGTAATTCCAACGTTTCCTTAGGCAAACTGGTCCGAACAAAACGTTGGAATTACTCATTTCAGTTTCGCTGAGACTTTACAAGTATAATTTTTACAAATGTCTACTTTCCACTCGGCGTCCATTTAATTTGGAACTATTCGGTCAAATCTTGATCACAGTTCATATGAACTACTGGATATATGTTACCTTTATTTGTAAAGTTGTACTTCGTCTATTCATTACACTATTTAAAAAACAACTGATTAGTTCATAAGCTGGTAGGTTAATATTGCAATCTTTGGAATAATCATTTTCAAAAACTTGGTCATTTAGCCTATAGAAGAATTCAATTATTTAGTTACAGGATTTCATCATGGACTGACATTGTTTAGAGAACCACAGCTGTTTCGTCCTAGTTTGGAACTCTTCAACAGTACGCACCCTGTTACCAATCAATCAAATCCCTACAAACCAATGCTTGAATCGAATTATTTATTATTTATACTATTACTAATGCATACTTTGAAATTTTTATTTCTATTTCAGAGGAAAATCATTCTCTTCATGGCTTTACTTATTATCTTCCAAGTTGACTCGTTAACGTTTTCACAATGTACCAAAAAACTACAGTTTCTATTTCGACGCTGTTATATTACAACCTTGATTGCGAAAAGCTGTTCTAGTAAGTCATTTGATGATATACATTTTTTAAATTAACGTTCCTATGGGCTAGTTTCATAAACTTTGTCAAAATTAATTAAATTTTTAACGATAACCATTGAGGTTAGTATTATATGATAATAAGCTTAAGAATGTACAATGTTAACATTTGACTAACGAATTATTGATTAATTTCCGTGAGTGAGCAGACTATTTTTAGGTTAATATGAACAAAAGTTGGATTTAATGAATAATTTCCTAGAAGATTTCGGCCACTATGAGTAGTACAATATTCAGGAAAATATACTGTGAGCCCAATATGCTATAATCAACTGTTCAGCTGTAAAATGATTAAGGCAATAATTACACAGGTTCTTTTCAGAATTGACTACAAATAAACTCCAGATGATAACAGTCAGAAAATTAGTGAAAGTTATACATGTTACTTATTTTTACTCAGTAGTATAAGCCTTATGTGATAGTTATTCCTAAGACGTTTGAAATACATTATTTTATAGTTGTCACTTGATATCTTCGTTTGTTAACTTTGACATTGATTGGTATGTTATTTCTCAGGGCATCTGCCTGTCTAGAAGTCGCTTTTAGGCTTTATATATATTCAAATGTGTGAATGAATATTCTTTGAGAAACTACGGGATAAGAACTCAAGGGTGTTGATTAGTAGAAATTAGTATAGCAAATGACGAGGTAGTATGATGGAGACGCAAGTATCAAAGGATCTGAAAGTGTGGGTCAGGACTAAGTAAATGTGAATACTAGTTGCCCATAAAAAAGTCAATTCAGACGAGTGTTGGACGAGAAGTTGGAGTGTTCAAAAACCAAACAAACATAGGTTTTATCTTCAGTTGCCTTGCTGTACACAAATTTTAAAATGTTTGTATTTACCTTAACGTTGAAGCTAAGTATTCCATTGTCATAAAAGATTCATGGTTAGGACAGGGCAGCAGTACTGCTGAAAGTCGGAGGGGATGGACTCATTCACCAGGAACAAGTTTTCCATGTCTCAGACTATCCAAGACACTTATTTTTATTTATGCTGATAATACTAACGAGTTTTTCGGACTAAAGTGGATAAGATAGGATTCAGACCCAAGGCTGGCCAGCTGAAATTTGCGTGCTTAAGCGAATGAAGTGAATATGGCATACCTGAAAGGGAAATACAGTAACTTTTAGGCGAATAGGATTATTCTTGAGTGTTTAAAACTAAATAAATATGTAGGCTAATTTCTAAAAATTATCATCATGTCACAAACGATACTGAAATCATTGCTTGAGAAGCACATTAAAAATAATAGATCTCCAGAGACAAACCTTCAAAAATGAACAGTAATCATCCTTGAAATTTTTACTTGTTCAGTATTTAATTTTTCCCATGTAGAATGAGGCAAATCAAGTTGAAGCATTAAGTTTTAAAGGTTTAATCCAAAGTTTGTGGATGTGACATAACTGTCAGAAATAAGCATTTTGTTAGCGAGATAATTTTGTCAAACCAAACGATTCATTATGATTAAAAGTGACAGGAGAAGAACAAGCCCGGTGGTCAATGTGGTGAAAACAAATGAATAATTATTACATATCACAGGTTTTCATGGCAGTCCGGTAAAATCCGTGATAACTGAGCTGATAGAGCTCCAGGATGATAATCTGAAGACTGCTGGTTCCAATCATTTCAGGGTTCTATTTCACAGCTAGCTGTCATCCATTAATTCATTATTGCCCCATCAGTTCAAGTTGATCTCGAACAATCACTAAAAGTTTGTTTATTCTCTTTCTTGTTTGTTTTTTGATATAGATTTTGATCAGGGAGCAATGTCATCTTTTTACAATGATATTGTGAAATTGGGGAAAATGTGTAACGATTGTGGAGGGTGTGTAGATTCGTTCATGAGTTGTTCACTAGAGGCCTTGAAAAGAATGAATACAAACAATGTCCTCAGGCTAGCACATATGCTAATAATTTTCGTAGAAAGATGTTAGTGAAATAATTCGTTACATCAATGTATGGATCAGATTTAACAGTGCTAATTTCTTTTCAGAATGTTAATCAAGAATAAGTTATTTACCTTGATGTTTATTACTCATGGAGTTTGATTTCACCTGATTTTTCCATCTTACTGATAGTTAAATGCCTTTGTTAAAAAATAGGAATTATAGACTAATAAAGAAAATAGTCAAGTCATTTTACGTTCTGGTTTCATTTGCCTACTAAATAATCATAAAAATTCGGGTGGAATAGTTAGTGAGCATCACTGATAGATAGGTGAATTACCACCATACTGGTCTCCAGCGATCCACATTTTACGCTTGTGTATGAGTTTATGATGTATATCTATCATGATTCATTGTCCTAGTTCACTCAGATCATCCCAGGGACGGTGGTTTATCTTGAAGACTTTGTTAAGTTAGCTTTCATGCCGGTCACCAATGAACACAGAATTATTGTTTGAATGTTTGGTCTGTAAGTAACTGGTTCCCGTAATAACTAACTTCTTTATCACACAAGTCTGTTATTGAAAAGAAAATCGAAATCTATCTATCCAGCGAATTCGAACCGGGAGCCATCTGTATAGCTCCAATAACCTACATCTTTCCATTTGCTATCCGTATGTTCCAGAACCTGGCTATGATGTTATCGAAAGACACTTCCTTCGAAGTAGTAGTTTTTATATCTAAGTGAAGTAAGGATAAATTGTGGTTGTCTGCCTATGTTCAGACAAAGTTTCAATACACATCCTACCCAAGTTTTCCTTAAACATCCTAGTGGAACCTAAAGTAACTTAGATTTAGGTAAGGGACTAGTAGTATGATGTTTTAGTAAATTCTGTTATTAGGAGTCAAAACAGAACTATAGAACTACTGATATTTTCATGTGGAGTACAATAAACAAATGTATTCAACAGAAAAATGACATTTTAAAAAATTACAAAATTGCCAGTTGATTTAAACAAAATAAAATAAAAATAATTCAAATCAATATTGTTAATGTGTGTGTTCAATTCTTCTGTCTATGTATACACTTTTTGTAATATTTATCAGAAGAATAACTCTGGCTTACTCTGATTCTGATTTTTGCACTTCATTCATTCATTAAAACAAACAAAAAGAAAAAGAATTAATCCATTGGACATTGAAAAGCCAATCTATTTAAGTTCTATCTAATATCAATGTTTCAATAGAAATAACTAAAGATTTGAATTAAATCAGATATGTTGATTTGATAATAATAAAAAGATTAGGTGTACTGTGGTACCCTGCATAAATATTTAAAAAAGGTTAAGAACAAATTCTGTGAAGGCAGTCTAGCCAAAACTGATAAAATTTACGTGAAAAATGGCAGTAGTAATATGAGGAATAGTGCTAATAATTATAAACTCAAATTAGCTAGAATTAGACGATAGCTATGTGTACATTTCTTCTAAGAAATCCAGAGCGATAATTGTGATCGATTAATTAAACCAAAAGTCTGAGTTACACTTAAAACCAAAAACACTTTACTATATCATGCATAAAATAATGAATATAAGATCCAAACTTCAAATTTTGTGGTGTCTGCGGTTGACTTAATGCCTTCAAACGCATTATCATTGTGGGTCTATAAAAAGCCGCAGAGAAACTGTGTCAAAGACGATCCGCGGACAAATTAAACAGCGCGCGAATTTCCAGACAGAGGGTTAAAAGAGATTTCAATAAACAGTATTCAACTTAGACTGCATTATAAACAGAGCATGTAGATGCGAAAAGAATTACCATAGATGGAATACAATCTTAATACATTAAATGAGATAAATTTCAATAGTAAATGACAGTTATGGTTACGGTGTAACACTGTAGTTAAGAAATATGAACTCATACTACTTACTAGTGATAAGTAGTGGCGTATGATTAAACACATGGAAAACTGACTGACTGACTGACTGACTGACTGGTTCCAACGTAGAGCTTCACACAGATGTGCAGCTGTTGGAGTTGCAACCCACAAAGCAAGAGAGAGAGAGATTAAAGTAAGCTTCAAAAGAGAGATAATAAACAGAACTGTGAGGCGAAAAGACTAGTACTTTGGAAGGACGATTTAGTTTTATTGCACATTATAAGTCACAAAGAGTGGATGCACCTGAGCCACTGTAAATGATTTTGAGCGATATAACCAATTGTCTTAAGCCAATGGGTCTTACTCTCCCATGGGAAACAGAAACAAAGGATAGGTGAGAACCTAATTAACACTAGGAATCTTTAATTCTACTGTACAGGTCTGTCTGATCTCTTACTTCCATCTATATAAGCAGTTCCGGTTGTACCTGACTTTAGAGATGTACTGCCGTTGTCGCTTTTCAGAGCATTTGTGATTTAGCCAAATAGTTGATTACCGTTGGTTCTATGAAAGCTGAACTTACGAAATCAATGTTTAAACTTCCATTCCTCCCAGTACTTTTAACACTTATAATATTTCCTGTTCTCTGTATCAACCTAAAAGGACTGATGGAAAGTACAGTGTTTTTTAAAACCAGCTTAGCGGATGAAGACATGTGTGGATTTCTGTATTATTGAGGAACATACACTTGCTTATTGTGACATCTAAGAAGTCGATACCTTAGGATACTTATATGTTGTCTCAGTTGATGCAGAAAAATAGTAGCTTTCTTGGTTAGACCGTGACCGTGACATACTTCCATAAACCAATGATGCGGAGGGAGGGTGTAAAATATATTAGTTTTATTAGGAATAATGTCACATCTGGCGTCCATCAACATATGTCATCTTAGTGGCAAGCCTGATAACATGACTCTCATAAAAAATCAAGTGTTCTGCACAGAAGTTCTATTTGTTCCACTGTAAGATTGTAAGACTCGACCACTAAAAGTAAAAGATATAAGAAGTTTGGATGTTTTTGATCATACGTGTGAATTCTTGATTGATTACGTCACATGGAACGACAAGATAAAAATACTGGAGTTAAGTAAAAAAGGAGAGTCAGTAGACAAGGTTGTATCGCCAGTTAAGGTGACTAGGAAAACTGTGACTCATACGAAGGTGTTACCTTCCACAGCAATACTAATATTATAATTATAGCTTTATTCTGGACAGTTTTTATATAAAGTACAGAATTTTCAGCAGAATTTATTGCAGGATATTTTCTCCTCATAATGGATCTTCAAATAAAATATAAGCTGACAGTAGATGGCATGACAAAATGCTATCCAATCTGAAGTGCGAACCAATATCTTATGATAATTCTTGGCCTCCTTCCAGAAATGCACAAAATCTGGCTGAAAGCCAGTTGTAAAATGTTCAGGAGTACATACTGAGACCCAAGGACATCACTCAGTATTAGTTATCACATGTATTGGGATACACTTCTACAACCACAATGATGCTTTATCTTGCCTTTAGTATAAACTTGGGAATCAGCAGGCTATTAACACTTTAAACACTCTCGAGAGTATATAATAGGGGTCATATTTTAGTCGATTAAAACAAAGTGAACAGGTGAAAATTAAATGCAAATAGTGGTGGAGATTTTTGGTTACCCAAGTTTTAAGCACGTTGCTGATAGCAACCAGTGATGGTTGGAATATGATTAATTTGCCGAAGAGTTAGAGGCAGTCAGATCAAAACATGTCACTGATGGATGAAGTCATCTACTGTCGGTTTGAGAAACAGAGAAATTAGGGTCTAGAGTGTGCAATGAATTAAAAGAATTACTTTTTAAACCAAAGAAAATATTTTGTTCAAACTCCAAAATAGATGTTTATGATAACTTGTGCACTGTTGAAAAATGATTCCTAAAAATTGATTCCTACAGTATTCCAGTGGGAAACTAGGTTGAATCAACAAAACTTCCGCTTGTTAAAATTAGTTTTGTTTTTATCTCTAATTGGTTGTTTGAAATAACGCAATACAATACTTTAAAAATCTATACTACTAACTTAATATAAGTAGCATACTATTTTGTTTATATATATGTTGACTTATGGTACTACAATACACAAAATCTCAAAGTGAAAATAGATTTTTGAGTTTTTATGTTTAATCAGCTGTAAAATTATCTGTAATATTAAATCAACGTGTGGTAATAAGATATCTACATTCATCTATCTGATTCTCAAGCGGAAATGCCTACTAACCACCTACATTTCTAGAAGCAACTTGGATGTTACGGCAGTATGTAAATGAGTTTTGTTTGACATTTTTTCCAGTGAATAATACTGTTTCATCGTTTGTGATATGCCCAATAAACAAATCAATACAAACTGAGAAGTTTTACCTTTTAGGGTTAGGACGGATGAAAAGGTATTTGATTAAATTTCATAGATTCATTGCGTACACCTTGAAAAGTTTGTTTGACTTTTGCATTGTAATCAGAATGACCAAGTGGAAACTTAGAATAATTAGAAAACTTAAACCTTATGGATTTCAGTTATGTTGCTGACGATGCAAGAAACGGTATAAAAGTACTGATCACAAAGCTCTACGATTATGGAGTTTATTTCACAATAGGGTTGTAAATTCACACTCTTGAATTTCCGAAACTACTGTTCGATATTCAATGTTTTGGGACAATTTTTCAGATGATGAAGACTATCTTGAGGACGAATTATTCACACTGAGTGAACCAATTAAATTTCATGATTATAGGATTATATCAGAAAGGATTTTGAACAAAAATATTAATCTGAAATCTGGGGTGGACAAATAATGACATCAAAAATCAAATGGGTAGTCATATTTACACAGAAACAACTAGTGATGAAATTTCTATGTTAACTTACTTTCCAGTGACACTGAATGATATTCATAGAATAAAGAATGACTAGCATAAATCCAACATGAAATTTCATATTGATACTTGTGTTGCCAACATCTTTCCTAATGATACAAATGTTATTAAATCTAGTTTGTCTTATTTTATAATTCTCTTCGAAATCTACTGTAACGTTTAAATGACAGCATCTCCTTGTAGCAAATACTGACGTCTTCCA